TGTCCGCCGCTATCACTGGTTGGCGCATAAGCATCCAAAGATTTTTACGGGACAGGTAGTAGCAGGGGTGTGGCAAGAAAGATAGCATCTGCTGTGTTTTCTACAGGCTGTTTATCTACAGCCCAGGATGTCTTGGCACCTCTGCCCGAGTGAAATGGAGCAACCAAAATGCAAGCCGGCATAGAGCCATCCTGACAGATGGGCATGCGTGCGGGCAGGCAGGGGACCAGGTATGTGCACAGAGTACGTTTACTGAGGGCAAGAGTCCCCGGCGGGCAAGATCAAGCAGCTGTTGACATGGCCTTCTGTGCCTATAGTTACAGGTATATGGCATGGATCATCCTGGCTCCTTTAACCCCTGCCATTACACAGGCCAAGCCTCTGACTTGATCTCACAGCCTCTTCTCTTTAGGTGTGTTGGAGATGGAGAGATGAATTCCCAGGGCATCCTCCTCTCCTTGATCCTCTTTGTTCGAGGTCTCCATGCAACCGGTGAGAACACGCTCTTGTGCCAAGCCTGTATAAATCAAAAGGTGTCTGACTCTTCAGCTGATGCCTATCTCCAATAATAGCCATTAAGGAGGGCTTGACACCCTTGTATGCAGGTGGGGAGTGCTGGATCCGGCCCTAAACTGCCCCGACATGGCCGAGTTATTATTACAGGGTTTTTGCACCCTCACTTGGTTTCTAGGTGAAATATTGGGACACCAATATCAGCACAGCTCCCCCTCCCTTTGCATTGCACTTTCTCCTGTGCCTCCTATTAGCCTACAGAAGCATGGCCATAGTCTTTTAGAGGGACCACTGCTGGCTAGGGATGCTCGTTACATCCCTGCTTCCTTTCAGTGTCCCTTAGCTCAGAAATGCCATAGGTTTCTTACACTCCCTGCCCCTGCAGCCACATTTAAACAGCTACAAACCAGCTAGAAGAGCTTCTGGAGCAAGCAGAGGAGGAAGTTAAGTGATGTGTCACTGTCTGAGGCACTGCTTGGGACAGGGGTGCAGTTGTACCACCCGGGCTTGTGATCTTCCCAGATTTCCCATGCTAAGCAGGCTTCAGCCTGGCAGTACTCATATGGGAGCTCTCCGAGGAAAAACCCAGGCTCCAGCAGGACGGAGAGGCACTGGTTTAGGAGGAGGCATTCTTCCCTCCTTGTTGCTTTCACTTGATGAAGAGACCGGCGTGAACAAGGAAAGTCTGCAGGGAGGCACAGACCTTGCACCATGCCTGGAAGATGGGCAAACTACATCTCTGAGACTGGGGAGCAAAGTGGGTTTTCTAGCAGAAGTCCCCATGCTATATTCCCTAGCCCCTAAATGCACATGCATCTGGGGATGGGCTGCTTTGGCATGCTGGCTAATCTCCCTTGTTGGGTGAGAGCACAAAGACAGGTAGTGATGCACATGAATTGTATTGGGCTGTTTAGACGGACTCCAACAGCTTGTACAGCCACTTATTCCACGTGTGCAGCATTGCCAAGAAAACAGGCAGCCCCATTCAGTACTAGGAGCAGCCTAAATCCACCCTAGGCCAATGCATTGGAGCAATCCCCCGTGCAGGTGACAGGCTCCTGAATGATGGTGGGGAAGTCAGCCGCAATCAGGCACCAGGCTGTTGAGAACGGACATCATCAGAGGCGCCTACATGCTTCAAAGCCCTGGGAGTCCGGAGAGTGACTGGCTGGTTTTTTGTGGCCGTGGGTCTCTCAGCCGTGCTCCAAGGTTACAGGCCTGGTGTACCCTACAAATGAAGTGCATGGCAGGACCTCTCAGTCCGGCTGCCTGGAATCTCAGTACCCTGGTTTTTAGGCACATTCCCCCAAAGTCTGCTTTCCTCCGGGCACTCCAGCTCCCACCTTGCTACACCCGTCCCGGGTTGCCCTATGCCAGCATCTTGGGTGCAGTCACTCTGTTGTGTGCCAGCCTAGCGCAGAACCAGCAAGGTCCTAACTCAAAACGAAGGAGGACAATGCAAAGGAGAGTGCTCCTGCAAAGCACAGCAGGGTTCACCAGGCACCAGGGAGTTCACTATGCCGCAGACAAGCTCCCCATCAAAGGGGAGGTCCAGCGAGGCCGGACAAGTCTTCTTGGCCCTCACAGATACCTGGACATCTGGAAACCGTGGGGCTTTTTGGTATGTTGAAAGGCCTCACCTAGTTCTGGTGGGTTGAGCAGCCCCTATCATCTCAGAACTGCAAATGAGCTCGCATGGCCGTTAGCAAATGGGAGCATCATTAGCTCTCTGGGACAGACTGGGAAACTGAGGCACAGGGACATGGAAGTGACTTTCACACTCCCCGAGGCAATCAGCCTCAGAGCCAGGAACAGAAGCAAGGTCTCCTGACTCCGTGTCTAGGGGTCCACGGTCCACACTGTGCTGCGTGTACGTGGTTGACACTAATGCCAAGGGGCCACTTGCCTATGCCAAGGCAACTATCTTGACCCTGCTGCCAACGCACTCTGTGACCCGAGGCCAGTCACTCGTGCTCTCTGCGCCTTCGTTTCCTCCTCCGTAACTATGGGAAACTGTACTAATGCTGCCACCCTCCCAGGGGTTCAGCGAGGCTTAATTAATGAGCGTGTGTAATACGCTTGGAGATCTCAGGCAGAAGGCGCTGCGGACTCGCAGAGCATCATCGCCGGTAATTAATGTTGACAGAATACGTTCGGCTTTTAACCAAAACCCATCTCGCCAAGAATCCCCTGCCAGCTACAGCCCCCACCTGCAGTCAGAGCCGCGCGTGGAGATGTCAGGACTGAAAGGTGCTGCGCGGTGCCAGCAATCGGGGCTCATCTCCCTGCAGCACGGTTACATGCAGCCACTTCTGCGGTGGCACTGTGTTGGGAGGGGAGATTTTTTTGTGTTAAGCTTTCCTCAGAGACATTAGGCAGCCAAGGCTGAGGTTTTGACCGGGCTGTGCCAATGCTCCTGCTGGGACTCGAAGCCGGAGGTTTCTGGCTAGAGGGTCTTGCCCCTCCACTCAGGGTCAGACCAGCATCATATTTGGGGTCAGGAAGGAATTGCACCCCATGGTCAGGTTGGTGCAGATTTGGGGGGTGGTTGCCTTCCTCCGTAGTGGGGGACATGGACTCTACCTGGGATCTCGAGTGTAGATTAACCACCTTTTGCAGACATAGGACGTTGGCTGCCACGATGCCCCTGCTTTACCCGTGGCGGGTTAGGGTGTCTTGTCTTGTGTCGTGTCAGGGTTGATGGCAGTTTTACTTAGATGCTAGAGGATGGATTTGTATAGGAGAGTTTGGATGATGACCTCCGAAGGTCGCTCAAGCCCTACTTCCCTATGATTACTACGATCCCAAAGAGACGACAGCAAGTCTCGGCTGGTGCAGGGCGTCCAGGGATCCTTCCCGGAGCTGGGAATCCAACCCTCATCCCACTCTCCTCCTCTCCTGTAGCTGCCCAGTCCTATTATTAGCGCACAGCACCACCCCTGCATGCTAAAATTACAAGGCCATCACCAAACGCTGTGTCTCCATCCAGGCAGGTTAAGAGAAGACTTAAACCTCGCATGCCGGAGGCTGCGAAGGGGAGAGGAACAGGGGGAAAAACCGCTGGTTGGTCTCCCACGTGGCCACAGCGTGACATGCGATCCTGGGCAAGATGAACCGGTGGCCTGACCCACTGAAGGGCAGTTCTTATGAAGAGAAGGGAAGGAGGCGCCGGCTACAAGGGGGAGGCTCCACCACCCCATTAGGTGGGCGACCAGGAGAGAAGCAGGGGCCCAGTGTCTAACCGAGGCACCCTACCTGCACGTCGTGAAAGTGTGGCACTCCTTGCCACCAGCAGTTGTGCAAGCTCGCACTTCAGCTGGATTCAAAACGGGATGGGACAAATCCTTGACGGAAAGGGGCATCAGTAACTATTTTGCAGGGGAGTGAGGGGCACGGCCTCCGAATCAAAACTTCCTAGACCTTACATCCCGGAGGCGTGGGTGACTGCTGCCTCCTGAGTCTGGGGGGCCATCGGACTGCCCCGTGTGGGGCCAAACGCCGAGCCAGAAGTGACACCGGAAGTGCGCTTCTGCTTTTGCAGCTGGCGCTGCCAGGGGGGGCCACGGCTGGCCTCGGGGGGGGCCACGGCTGGCCTCGGGGGGGGGCACAGTTGAGTTCAGGGGGCGCACGACCAATCTCAGGGCTGCACAGCCCATGTCAGGGGCGCGTGGCCGAGGTCGGGGGTCACACGCCCCCGCGTGCGCGCCCTACGCGTCACCAACGGCTGCAAGCGAGAGAGCAGCAGCGGGCCAAACCCACTCGCCCTCCCTTTCGGCATCGCCTCGTGGCACGGGCCTACGCGAGGCGTGGACACGTCGCCCACGGGCGGGCATCGCCCAACGCTACCGGCCGCCCTAGGCACGGGCCACGTCCCCCCGTCGCAGGCGACGGGTGCCGAGAAAACGGGAGCGAGGCTGCGGAGGGGCAGGCGGGCGCCGCTCGAGGGCGCAGGAAGCAGCAGGCGGGCCTGGCCCGGCGCCACGTGGCC